AATGTGTGCTGTTTTAAGTCACAGAGTTTATGGTTATTTGTTTCAGCAATAATAGGAAACGAATATACCCCCCAACTCCTGATTCCCCATTCCTGTCATATTTCCCCCCATAATAACTCTTCTAGCAATTATATAATTTACTCATGATATTTATCATTTATTGTCTGTCTCCCTCTGCTAGAATGTAAGCTCTGCAAGAGCAAGGATGGTCTGTTTTGTTTATTCCTGTATCCCCAGCTCCTAGAACAGTTCTTGACACATAGTGGCTGCTTAAAAAATACGGTATTTGTTGAGCAGAAACTGGTTTGGCTCAGTGGATAGAGCGTCAGCCTGTGGACTGAAAGGTCCCAGGTTCGATTCCGGTCAAGGGCATGTACCTTGGTTGCGGGCACATCCCCAGTAGGGGGTGTGCAAGAGGCAGCTGATTGATGATTCTCTCATCGGTGTTTCTAACTCTCCTCTCTCTTCCTCTCTGTAAAAAATCAGTAAAACATATTTAAAAAAATATTTGTTGAAGGACTCATTGAATGAATGGAGTAGGACAGAAACAAAGATGGGGGCAACAATTCTTCCCTGGGGGCTGTAGGTTCCTGTGCAATTATAAAAGTTAATAAAAAAATTTTTTGTATTTGAATCAGCAGTGTGTGGTTCAAAAGGTGTAAAAAATATGCAAAGGAAAGTAAGTCTTCCTCCCATCTTGATTTCCCTACATCAGCTTCTCTCTTCAGAGACAACCATTATTTCCAATTTCCTGTGTATCTTTCCAGATATCTTTGCATATACAAAGATATATACAAATGAATATTATCTAGATATATATGTATGTGCATCTACACTGAGTGGCCAGATTATTATGACCTCTGAATGCATAATAACCTGGCCGCTCAGTGTGTGTGTGTGTGTGTGTGTGTGTGTGTGTGTGTGTGTATGAGACCAAGTGCATGATTTCGTGGATGGGTGGGATCCTGCCAGCCTGGCCAGGGTGAGGGGATATGGGTGGTTGGTTGGCCTATCTACTGATCGAACTCCTGGTCAAGGGGACAATTTGCATATTAGTCTTTTATTATATAGGATATACACTGAGTGGCCAGATTATTATGTGTTCAGAGATCATAATAATCTGGACACTCAGGTATATTATATATATAATGTATGTACTTGTTGTTTTTGCCTTAACCTGCCTCCCCCCCTGCCCCATGGCAGTAAATGAGCCATTCTGCCTCTTCCATACCATTTATTAACTTAGTATCTGGTCTGGATTGCACCTAGATAGGAGATGAGTGAAAGGGGACAGATAATTCCATGTTATAACTTTGGAATTGCTAATTTTACCATTTGGCATTTGGGGGACAAAATGGGTCACCTCCCACACAGTCATCTTCCCACAGAGATGAGGAAGACTGCCCAAAGGCAGTACGCTGTTTAAAACAGGGGTGTCACCCAGCCAACGTGGTTCAATGGTTGAGAGCCGACCTATGAACCAGGAATTTCAGGATTTGATTCCTGGTCAGGGCATATGCCTAGGTTGGGGGCTCCATACCTACTGTGGGGTGTGCAGAAGGCAGCCAATCAATGAATCTCTCTCATCATAGATATTCCTATATCTCTCTCCCTCTTTGAAATCAATAAAAACATATTAAAAAACAAAACAAAACAAAAAAATCCACAACAAAACAAAACAAACACAGGCATGTCCATGGCCTGCATCAGGAGAACAGACCATGGTGCTGACTTGAGGTACAGCTTGAGTCTGACTCTCTACTTTGTCAGCCTATCGAAACCACATAGAGAACTCTTTCCCCAGAACAATTCAATCAGAATCTCTGGAGATGAGGTATGGGCCTTGGTACTATTATATTTATAAAACTCTGGTGACTTGAACTGCAGCCACGGCTGAGAAATCCTGGGTTAAGTTATACTACATGGAGGACAGAGCTTGGGACCTGGGGATATGGTTTTCCTGCTTTAAGCTTCTCCTGCAGTAGCCTCAGACAAGTCACACGATCTCTGTGAATCTCAGTGCTTACCTCTGAGCCAGAGCCAGTAATACCCACTGCCCTGCATACCTCACAGGATTGTAATGAGGATCAAATGCATAAGCGCCCTGGGAATTGTGGGACATTGTCTGAGGGAGGAATAGTTATGTCAGGTGTGTCGTCTCAGGTTTCTTCAGTCAGCCTGCCTCAGCCTCAAGCCCTGCTCAGGCTCTGCCAGGGACTTTCTGCTTCACCCTGAGACAGGTCCTTATCCCATCACCTTTGCTGGGATCAATCTCTTCTCAGGTCTGTGTGTTCCCTGTCCCACATCTGGCTGCTGAGACATCAATTTCTCCTTTTTAAGAGAATAATGACCAAGGAAGGCTGGATTCCCCCTGACTAAATTACAGCTATGACCAGCAGGCCGGTGCAACCCTCCGGGGTGCTCCGCAGACCTCTGTGTGTCTGAGCAAGCACGTTCTATGTTACACATTTGGAAAATGGAATGGTGGGAAGGGCTGGAAAACTCCAGGCTTTCCTAAAACAAATCTCAGAAAGTAAAGCTCAACTGTCTTCCCCAGAGACTCATCTCCTGTAGATTCCTGCAGGGATAGGAGTGCGAGGTGAAGAATGTAGGGAAGAGAAGCGAGTGAGGCAGGTGGTTATGTTTTGAGAAGGGCGAGCAATTCTTGACCAGACCACCGTGCTTTTGGCTGGAATGATTTCCTCCAGGTGGTAGAAGCCAGGCACCCAGAGGCTGCAGGGGTCCCTGCCCACAGAAGTTCCAAGATAATCTCTTATGTAACTCATGCTCAGCCCTCCTTCAGGAAGAGCAACCCGTGCTCCGTTCCCGACCCATCTTCTCTCAGGGCCCTACAGTAATAAAGATTCCTACCTGTCCTTCTGGGGGCTTCTCCGCCACTCATAGGAGCTGCCTGCCCTGGCACTGTCCTCTGGGCCTCAAACAGTCTTTACTTTTTCTCCACCACGGACCCCCATATTGTTAGAGACCGCAGAGTAAGCACACTGTATTTCTCAGTCAACACTGAGGTTTCCATTTTAGTAAAAAATCCATTACCTTGGATCATCATGCATCCCCCTTTTATTTTCCTGCCTCTTTGCTCTACAACCCTCTTTGCCTATAACACTTGCTACCTGCTAACATGCTATATTATTTTTATTTTTTATTATCTGTTTCCTGCTGCCAGAATATAAGCTTCACGAGGAGAAAGATTTTGTCTGCTTTATTCACTGATGTACTCCGCCCAGAAGACTGGCTGGTACACGGTCCTCAGCCAGTATTTGTTGAAAGATAATAAAAATGCACATACTTTTGGGCTGTTAGGTTGTGAGCTCCATGAGGTAGGGACATACCCACTTTTCCCCCCTCCCTGTTAATCTCTTTTTAATACCCATTTTGCTTACCATCTGCATACTCAATGCCTAGCATAGGGCTTGGCACAAAATAGACACTTCATAAATATTTGTTAATATGGCAGGCTAGCATACCATTTTTAGGAATTTATCCTATGGGTATGATCAGATAACATACCTGTTAATCACAAATATTAATTGCATATTATTTAACATTAATTGCAGCATTTTTGCACAAACAAAAACTACTGAAGACCAAGACACCCATCACTAGAAGACCTGGGTTAAGCCCATTTATACTGTACACACAGGAGTCCTAGGCAGCAATAAAAAAAAGGTGTATGATGTACAGGAGATTAAATATAATGGCCCCTTCACCACAAAATTTTGGTTGCTGAGACCTGAGAGAAAATTATTCTTAGGGTCCTTCTAAAATAATGACCACAACATCATTACTGTGCAGATGCAATAATAAGTCTTATGTAAAATGATGTTAGATTTTGTCTGACATTTCTAGATATCACATGTCAAATTGGTTTGGTGTCCTTGATTGGATATTAATTGATCACGGTCCTGACTTAGGAAAGAAGTTGGAACATAGTAATTATTCTTTATTGCAGATTGAGAGCATATTTGTGTCAACTGGACAATGGATAGGAAAAAAGTCATAAAAAATGCCACCAAAACAGGTGACAGAATGCGTAATCACTGAAATTCCATACTTCTCTCCCGCCCCCAATATTGGACTGATAATTTGTGTTAAAAATAAAGAAAAGGTAGGCCTACACATACTGTTTCAGAAAGGTGTCCAAGGTATTTTGTGAAATGAAGAAAGTGAGTTTAAGACTTCTAGGCGCAGAACAGGGTGACCTCACAAGTATATAGTAAACCATATTTGTATGCCCAGCTTAAGAAACTAGTTTACAATGGTTACCTCTGGGGAGTGGGATGGGAAGTATTTAATCTCCTTTCCTCTGGATTTGGTATGCTACTTTTCTATAGTTAGTAATTTAAAAAGGTAAATAATCATCCCAATCAAAGCATGTGATTAGTTTTAAACATCCACTAGTTTCATAGTAGATGACACTTCCAATGAAGAGCAGAGCTGTGCCATTTCAGTTAGCTTTGAGGTGTTTTTTATTACCTAAGTGGGCACTTAGGGGCACTACCTACCTAGATGGGGACCACTGGAATATTCTTTCACCTGAAATGATTGCATTTACTCTGTTCTAGCCAGACCTCTAGTGGGCTAAAAGTCACATACTAGAAGGAGCGGAACATAGAAGACCGTAGGCTTGGGGGCTGAGTGTAAGAAGGGTAGGTGAAGCTGTGGCTGGGAAGCACTGGGCCGAGCCTTTGCTCTTAGTCCCTGGCTCCACTTCCTTCTCGGGTTGATTTGTGCTAAGGAGCACCTAACAGCAGGGGCCTTATGATGATCAGGTCTCTTGAAGGCTAAGATTCCACAATTCTATTGGCCCATTCCCTCCTCTTATGCTGAGAAGGTGTTTCCAATAACCCACACCCCCACTCTGCCCACTCACCCACCTGTATAAAACGCCTGGAGTCAGAGGTGATTCCTGCCTCAGAGGACTATGGGATAAGGGGATCTGCACACACTATGGAAATAGCCAAGGAAGACACAAAGAAATGTTCAATGATCTCTGAACTTTTTATTGGCCTCCTGCCCCTCCCCAAGGGGCCCCCCCACTTCTGCTGCCTTTAACGCCTGAGAACTTTGGTGTCGTTGACCTCAGACACTACTCGGCCGTCCACAATTTTGCGAGTGGTGGTCTTTTGGATGGATTGCATGGAGAGGCTGCTGTCCAGGGCATCACTAAGGCTGTAACAGAAGACCAAACCCCAGTTATAAACAGCCCCGCAGAGAAGGGAGACAAGGAAAGTGGAGGGGGAAAAAAGCCCTCCAACCCTATGCTTTTATCTTAAAATTCCCCTGGGTCACTTCCTCCATAAAAGGGACACCCAAGGTCAAATTCCATTTGTACTCTGTGTTTGGCTAGTTGCAATCCATTCTCTTCTCTAGGAGGGAACCTCTGTAACTGTTTCTCCTTTGCAGACAGAGAGGCACTCACAGAGCACCAGCTCAGTGCTCAGTGGGGCTTTCAAAACTCAGGATCTGGGGAGAAGTGCTGTCTTGACCCTCCGTGGTGTTGGTGGGAGGAGAGCCCCACTTACCTGAAGTCCTCCCCTTCTTCCAGTAGGCGGCGGTAGGTGGCGATCTCAGACTCCAGCTTGACCTTGATGTTCAACAGGGTCTCGTACTCCTGGGTCTGGCGCTGCCCCTCAGCCCGGGCCTGGGCCAGCTCTGACTCCAGGTGCAGTAGGATCCCGTTGAGCTGCTCCATCTGCATGGCATAGCGCGTCTCCACCTCCTGCAGGTTGTTCTCCAGGCTGGCCTTCTGCAGGGGCCACAGGGAAAAGGGCTGGGTTAAGCCTTGAGGTACAGGGGAGGGAGTGTCTACAACGTTCCACAGAGCAGTTCCGAACTCAGGACTTCACTCTCTGCAACTTTTTTGAGTACCCACTTTGTGCGGGATTTTAGGGTAGAGGATAGGACCAATGGGAAATGCAAAGAGTAACAACTCTTTCTTTTTATTTTCTTTCTTTTTTTTTTTTGTAGCAACTCTTTCTGAGCAAAAGGATTTCATGATGGAAGGGGTAGGATTTGAACTAAGAAGGATTGGTCTGAGGCAGACAGAGGTTGGGCCAGGTGAAGTGAGGGCTCTTACCAGGTTTCTCATGGACTCCAGGTCGATCTCCAAGGTCTGGACCGTACGTCTCAGCTCTGTGAGTGCCACCCCAGCATCTCGTACCTCAGCGGACTGCGAGGTGACTACGGTGGTGCTTTCCTCAATCTGCAGGGTGAGGGGGAGGGTATGATCCTCAGGTCCTTCGTTCTCTGTCTGCCTCCCTCCCACCCCTTGGACCTCTGTACCCAGTTGACATCCATCTGTTTCCCTCTTATACCTGTTGGGACCAGTACTTGTCTAGCTCCTCTCTGTTCTTCCGAGCCAGCTCGTCATACTGGGCCCGGATGTCTGCCATGATCTTGCTGAGGTCCTGAGATTTGGGTGCATCCAACTCCACAGTCAACCCAGAGTTGGCAATCTGGTTTTGTAGACCATTTACTTCCTAGAGGAGGTAGAGAAAAAGTGAGAAGGGGCTCAGGGTTGAGTTCCAGTAAGGCTCTTCAGCTGTGACTGCCTCTTCCAGGCTGACAGGATCAGTTGGAGAAGAGAAGAGGGACCCTCTCAGCTTTGCACTCCTGGCTTTCTACACTGGATGGGCAAAATGCCACCTGCTCCCTGCTCATGCACTCACAAGTGATTTCTCTCTCCTCACTTCATTCTCTCCCTCCACCTACAGACCTTCTACAAACTTGACCTTTATACTTTCTTCTGGGAAGCCCTTTCAGCCCCACGTGCTCTCACTCCTCCATCACCCCTCACTCCTGGTGCTAGCTGCTTCTGCCTTTATCCTCCTCTCATTCTCTCACCCATGGCCTCTTGACTCCATCATGCTGTAACTCAGATGGCAATAGTCTGATTTAGAAGAGCCCAGGCTGGTAGTTCTAAACTTCCCTGCATGGCTCCTTGCAGGCAGCCTGCTCCATCACTCCCCCAGACTCGTTTTGACCCCTGGTTTCTGGCCTGGCCAGTGGCCCCTGCTTGCCTCCTCATGGTTCTTCTTCATGAAGATCAGCTCCTCCTTGAGAGCCTCGATCTCTGTCTCCAGCTGCAGCCGAGTGATGTTGGTGTCATCAATGACCTTTCGGAGCCCATTGATGTCACTCTCCACAGACTGGCGCATGGCTAGCTCTGTCTCATACCTGTGGGAGTGCAGGTGATCAGATCCAGAAACTTCTCAACCCACACCACCTCCCAAGAACAGCCTCGTGCCCACTGCACACCAGAAACTGAGTCAGGAATCATAGGGTAATCCTCTGAGCGCCATTTCTGGTTCTTGGGGGACAGCGTTCTTAAACTGGGTTATGTGAATGAATACATTGATGGAACCTTACTCTCATCCACCCAGTTCCACCCACAGTTGAACAAGATCCCACTGGGAACCCCTAGCTGACCCAGATCAGGAAGCAGACCATGCCTAGCTCCAGCCCTAGCTCCCTGGTCCCCCCCCAGCCTTACTTGACTCTGAAGTCATCAGCAGCAAGACGGGCATTGTCAATCTGCAGAACGATGCGGGCATTGTCCACAGAAGTTGTGAAGATCTGGGGATTGATGAGAGAGATTGCACCATGACTGGGGAGTCAAGGATAGGCTGGGCTGAGTGCGTTGTCTCAGTGAAAACTTCCTGGTCGCAAGAATAGCCAGAGATTATCCCCCCCCACCTGTGCCCTTCACGCTGCTTTCTTCTTTCCTAGAGTCTCCAATCCCAGGGCTCCCACCAGCCTCCTGCTACTCCTCCTTTGGGGCCTCTGATGGCTGGCTGGCTTGAGGTGAGCAGCTGCAAGTCCTCTAGCTTTCTGCTGGCATTTTTTTCTTACTGTACCTGCTCTACCCCCTGTGGCCGCCCCCCCCCCCCCCCCCCCAGGTAGGCCTCCAGTTTACTCTTAAGATGACTCAGCCTTAACCACATCCGCTTAACCCTCCAACTGTCCCTACTCAGCCAGCACCCAGTGTCTGTGTCCTCTGTACGGGCTGAGTCTCCCCTCCGTCCATGCTGTTCACTTCTCAAACTCCAGGGAAAGGACCCACCCGTGCAGTTACCACCCTCCGGGTCCCTGTGGCCAGGGGTATGCATGGAAATCTAGGGCATGCCTACCACCCTCGCTGGACAATAGGAGGCTAGGTGGAAACAGAAAGGGGGAATTAAAATTTCTATCCCGGGGAGAGCGGGGAGGAAGTAGATTACTAGGCGGAGGACAAACATGGCTGGGCGTTGGGTTGCTCCCTCCATGCCTCCTTACCTGAGCCCTCAGGTCCTCGATGATCTTGAAGTAATGCCCCCAGTCTCTGACCTGGGGCCCCTTCTTCTCCAGGTGTTCCCGGATTTTGATCTCCAGCCTCCGGTTATCAGCCTCCAGGCTCCTCACCCGCTCCAGGTAGGAGGCCAGGCGGTCATTCAGGCACTGCATCGTCTCCTTCTCGCTCTGAATGCCCGCGATGCCCGCCAGGCCTCCGGCCGCCCCCGCAGCCAGGCCCCCGGACCCCCAGCCACTCCGCACGCTGGTGGAGTGGGACACGGAGATCCGGGAGCCCGAGCCCCCCGCACCTGCATAGACGCTGGCCGCGCTGCTGGTCGGCCGGACCCGGTAGCTGGGCGCTTGCACGGAGCCCAGGGCCCGGTAGTTGGAGGAGAAGCTGGAGCGGGTGCTGAAGCTCATGGTGTCCGGAGAGAAAGATGAGAGAAGCCGAGAGAGTCACGTTCCAGGGGCAGTGAGTGCCAGATCCTGCGACTCAAAGTTTTATGGCCCCAGGAGGAGGTGGGACTGGCTGGCCCCGCCCCTGCCCGGAGCCGGCGCGCCAGGCCAGCCGCAGGTGGTCCGCTGCGGGGGACACACCGCTCCCTGGCGTCAGGCCCTGCCTACGCCCCCTCAGCGATCCCCTAGAAAGGAGGTGACTACCGGGGAGGACAAGGGCAGCAAGTGGTGGCGGCCCTGCAGCTGTGATTTAAGGGCAGGAAATGACGCAATGATACCCCTTCCCAGGTAGAGGAGCTCCTGGCCCGTGGAGAGTTTGGGAGTTTGGGGGAATGAGCCAGTGGAGTGGGGATGTGAGCCTCCATGGATGTTCTGGGCCCAAGCCCTGCTTGCCCGCTGATGAGATCTTGGGGGTAAGGGTGGGTGTCCTGGAGCCCCAGAAGTCCTGGGGAAGAAAAGGTGGGGGCTGGGGAAGAGGAAGAGAGACTTAACGCAGAGCCTCCAGTGTGCTGGTTTACACACACTCGCCTCCCACCGCACTTGGGCCCCAAACACGCCCACCTGCACATGTTCACTAGCACACACTCCTGCACAGATCATACATGTGTATGTCTCTCACTGAGGATGTTGAGGCTCCTGAAGACATACTCCCTCCCTGACGCACTCCCTCTCCCCTCAGCTGGCTTCCCTGGAGGCCTGGGCCCGTGGCATACTTTGCGATCAGAACAGGGGACACGTGGGCACTTCTGCACACTTTTGAATCAGCCTTGCCTACACCCTTGGGCAAACAAATACTTCCTGAACACTTACAGTTCCACAAATAGTTTTGGGGCACTTACTGTGCATCAGGCCCTGTGCTAGTTGCCCCGAGAACAGCAGTGAGTAACAGACGTAACTCCCCCATGAAGACTGTAATGTATCTCACATGGGATGAGGCCTAAGAGGACAAACGCACACACCTAGAGACAGTCTAGTTGAGATTTAGGGCTTTTCTGCCGGCCCCCTCCTCCCTTTGCCTCTCAATAAAGGCTCTCTGGATCCCAAGTCTGTCCCCAGGGGTCCGGCTCCTCCAGGAAGCTTAGGTCAGGGTATGGGTGAAAAGAATGGCATAGGGAATTTCCCACTGCTTCCTGTAACCCTGACTACACGGCCAGCCCCTGCTGAGTGATCGGGGAATCCTGAGGTACTGGGCCTTCAAGTCTGTCACTACCGGCGGCTTGTTTGTCCAACAGGGCCTGGCATTACACACTTATTTGTGCTCTTTGCTCTGGATGTGCCTATTGATTCTTATGGAGCTGCCAGCTGACACGAAGAGGTGGGAGCTGGGAGGAGTGTAGGCCTGGAAGGGAAAGGGGCCTGGGAGTGGCTGGGCCTGTAGGTGGGGGTAAGGCATCTCACATGTGGGGGGCTTGGCCCTGGATTGTCCCAGTCCTGCCTCCTTCTAGTGGATAAAGCCCCATAACAACTGATGGGAGCTGAGCTGGCCAGGGGCAGATGAGGGTGGGAGCTGGCCAGGGGAGGGTCAGGGCCTGCTGAAGCCCAAAAGGCAAATGGGATGCAGATAGTATGCAAATGAATGCCACTCATTTTGCATGGAAGGTTTCTGGGAGATTTGAGGTACCAGCCAGTCAAAGGGATTTCTCTTGCTGTCACCCCCAGGTTCCAGAATTGTCGTGTTGTGCCGAATTGCACGGTAAAGTGTATATATTACACAAAGTGGTTAATTGCCTTTGTGGTTTTTTGCTGTTTGAAGTCAGCCAGTTTGGGGCTTTCTCGCTGTGTGACCTTGGGGAAGTCACAACTCCGAACTTCTGTTTCTTCACTTGTAAAGGGGGAATAACAAAGCCTAGCTCTTTGGATGGCAGGGGTGTAAATGTTAATTATCACTCCCTCATTTATTAAACAAACACTAATTACTTATTGCAGAGTAAGTCTCCACTCATCCTGGAGGGCAGAAGCAGGGGACCAATTTAATTGTAAAGATGGCTCAGCAATGCAAGGCTCTCTCTGGGTCACTTAGGAGCCCTGGGGGACTTCGAATTCCACTGGGGATCAGACCCGAGTCCATGCTCTTTTCTTATCCAAGCTCTTTTCTAGGTCCTTCTCTTATTCTTCACTCCAGCTGTTCAGGACCTTTTGGGGTCTGTGGAAGCTCAGTCCAGGGGCCGGAGGGGGAGAGCTGCCAGTGGATCTTATCAGCTGATGTCAGTGGCCGCATTCCTGACCTCTTGCAGCATGGGGCAAATACCAGCCTCAGGTTCCAGCACCAGCCTGCCCTTTTCCTCCACTTCCCAGATTCCTCCGTGTTTCAGGTCTTTGTCATTCTGACAGACAGCTGGGGAGGGGGGCATTAGGGAGCAGTTTCGGTCTCCGGATTCCCAGCACTGGGGCTCTCACACTAGGTGGGGGGTAGGGGACACAGAGGTAATTGGGAGGCTGGTCCAAGGAGAAGGTGGAGCAGGAGGGGCCCTGGCGAGAGGTTCTCAGAACAAAGTTAAAAGACCCAGCAGAGGGGAGATCTGAAGGGGGCGGGGGGGAGATGGCTCCCCCACCCCCATCAGCCCCGCATTCCGCATTCCGATGTCCTGCTCAGGAACGGTGGGGAACCTGAGAGGCAGGTTTAACTACTGAGTAAACTCACAGATGGCCCTGATAAGGGTGGGTCAGCTCATTCCTCCCCCTCCCCACATTCTCCCTCAGAGGGCAGGAGCCAGAGTTCTGGAAACTAGATGGTGGGAGATTAGAGGGTTAGGCTGAATCATGAGGCCTGGAGACCTTCAGGTTTTTTGCTTTATCATTTAGACTGGGAATGTCTTGCTCAACCTTGAGGAGAGAGAACAACAGCTGAGGTAGAATAGTTCAGAATAGCAACTGAGGTAAGAGGGTGGGGAGGGGTTTAGAGCTGAAATTGGAAGGGGCTGGTTTCCATCCTTTTCTCCAAAGAAGTGTAGGAAAGCCCTATATTGGGGAGGGTTGGTGGTAGCCAGGTGCGTGACAGGGTGGCCTGGGGGCTCCCCCGGGCATCCTCAGGGGAGAGCCCAGCACATGTCAGTGGGCCTCCCACAGAAGGACCCTAAGGGCTACTGGGAATGGTTTTGAGTCAAACAATTCATGTAAAGGGAGTACTGGGGGAGGCCGGGGGAGGCAGGTACAATGATGTGGTTGCAGTTGTGTTGCACGCTGGACCCAGTCTGAATCTCTCAAGACTTTGGAAATTTATCTGTAGGTGCTCCTGCCTCATTTGGAGATTTGGGGGAATCCTCTCTGAGCTTTATTTTTTAAATAAAAAATAAAATAAAGTTTTAAGCCTGTCCAGGGTTGAGTGGGAGAAGGGTTCTGAGTGCTCAGGCCAGGTTGGGAAGGTCGAAGACACTTTTATATATTTCAATTGGGTTTGCACCCAAGGGTTATTCCCCAGGGAAAAAGGAAGAAAAGATCAGCGCTGAGGAGCATGTGGCTGCCCAGGAATCTTCAGTGCTAAAGCTCAGAGAGGGCCCTCCCTCGCTGGTTTGGCTCACTGGATAGAGCATCGGCCTGCGGACTAGAGGGTCTCAGGTTCGATTTCGTTCAAGGGCATGTGCCCAGGTTGTGGGTTCGATCCCCAGTGTGGAGCATACAGGAGGCAGCCAATTAATGATTATATCTTATCAGTGATATTTCTCTCTCTTTCTCCCCTCTCTCTTTCTCTCTGAAATCAATAAAAAATATATTAAAAAAATAAAGCTCAGAGAGGATTCCCCCAAATCTGGCTCTTCTAGGAGCCTCCTCTATTCCCTGTCACCCTCCCCCCAAACCCCTGGCAGCCTCTTCTGGCCAAGCCAACTCTCCCAGCAGGAACAGTCTCTCCTAACCTTAGGACCTCTTCCCCTCTGACCCTGGTCCTCTTGGTCTCTCTTCAGGTACAACTCTCTCTACTGACGGGAAGAGTGTAACAGAGGTTGGGGAGATGGCCACATATGTGCTGAGATACGTGGTCTACCACGAAGCAGGAAAGGATGAGTAAGTGATTTTGAGGTCCCAGGGGAGGTTACACAGCATGATTCTATGATGAGACCAACCACACAAGAAACTGTATCTTGGGGCATCTCTCACCGAGAGATGAGAAGATAGGAGTGGTAGAAACTCAGTAACAAAGAAGCCCAGGCTTAAAACATTACTGAAATGACAGACTTCTTGAGGTAGGTTGAGTGGAGAGCAAAGGAAACCAGAAGATGTCAGTGAAAAAGAATTTGGGAACTGGGAATTGACATGATGGATGACAGCAGATGTATAGGGCACAGATTATCAGATTTTGGGATCAGAGCAGATGATGTCATCTGAGGGTGGCTGAAGGTGCTGAAAATCATGGCATTTAGGATTCTAGGAAGAGAGGATGGGACAAGAGCATAGACTTTTTTGGAGTTCTAAAGAACTGAGTTTGTATTTGAACTTTGCTGTTTGCTTGCTGAGTGACCTTGGTCAATTCAGGTGACCAAGTTGGTGAGTTTCAGCTTCCTTATCTGCTGTCACAGGAATTAAATGTGCATGACAGGGCTCGGAGCACTGCAGGCGCTGTTCCAGCGTGCTCACCAGCCTCCTTCTGGAAGAACCGTCAGCCTGGAGGCTTGAGTCTCTCAGTTTGGTTCAGTTCCACAGTGAGCTGGGAGATACAAAGAACACTTAAAAATTAATAATGAAATCGATGATCATTAGAAGGGATAGATAACTGAGCAAACAAAATAAAGTGTATAGGTGCTATGAAAAGGAGGGAATAATTCATCCACTCATTCACTGTTTGTAAAACATCTACCATATGCCAGACATGTTCTAGGCTCTGGAGATATAAAGAAAAGCCAGATAAAGTAGCTTGCCCTCATGGAGTTCATATTCTAGGTGTTGAAGGGTTGGGATCCTGGAGAACCTCATGGAGGAGGGAATACTTGGGTGGAGCTTCAGAGAAACTAATAAGAATTTACAAGGGGGCTGAAACTGGTTCGGCTCATTGGATAGAGCGTCGGTCTGCGGACTGAAAAGTCCCAGGTTTGATTCTGGTCAAG